GCCAAACGATTGTGACACGCAAAACATATCTATCGCATAAAGACTTGACCAATCTGACAATCATGTCTGGTAGACAGTGCCTAGATTTCCATATTATCAAAAGGATGTGGATCTGAGAGTCTATGGTTTGCGTCCCGACGTCGTAAAAATGAACTCCGCACTTTGAGATAAAGCAAGAATTATTAGAATGATGGCAAAAATTACTATTAGGTCAGACAAGAGTTGGCGGTGGATTCCGTTGACTAGCTAACTTCCCTTTGATCAGTTCAAAATTAGAGATAGCAGCGTAGATAACCCTTTTATAACTGCAACTTTATCTGAGTTCACAGGATTTATAAGATCACTTTCACATTCTGGGCCCCTGTATGCATGTGCCAGGAAAGTCACACCAGGGTCAGGGGAAAAGAGCATGTCATAGAGGATCAGGCATTATTATTCACTCATTCGTATGAAACCCTAATAATGGTAATAATAGACCTTTTCGATATTTTTCGGTTTCCTAACACGCTTACGAAAAAGCATGAAGTTGTTCGACGCTTGTACTTGTGCTTTGAAACAGATAGAACTAATGTACAACAAGATGTCCTGTATAGTGAATGGATATGGTATACTATCTGTACGAAATAGACTTCCAGTGATCAGGATTGGTATGCTATCTGTACGAAATAGACTTCCAGTGATCAGGATTGGTATGCTATCTGTACGAAATAGACTTCCAGTGATCAGGATTGGTATGCTAGCTGTACGAAATAGACTTCCAGTGATCAGGATTGGTATGCTATCTGTACGAAATATACTTCCAGTGATCAGGATTGGTATGCTATCTGTACGAAATAGACTTCCAGTGATCAGGATTTGTATCTTAGAAACTCGTATAGAGTAAATTTCTACTGAAAACTCTTTCCTTGCATTACCATAGTCAATAAAATACACGTTGTGATACTATTAGTTGTTGAGTAAATTAAACTTCACGGTGTAACAAATGTTATGTGCTCAGAGAACTTATTAGGAATTCCTGGTTGGGTTACGAGAATGTTTCGTCAGCTTGAGATTGCCGGTGAGGTACAAGAAATACGGGTTTTGCTCTGTGTTTCTCGGGTATGACTAGTTTCAAATTGTGACTACACCAGAACATATTACCTATATTTAGCATCCGGTAGGAAGTGACCCTTTAATGTTTTGTTTCGGCTTTAGGATTTATTATGTAAATGAGTGTAAAACACAATAACTGATTTTATTTGCACAGTAAAACCATCAAATTGTATTATTTAACGCGTTTATAGGTAATGTAATAAATATGAAACAAGTAAATCAAGGCCAGATATTTAACAATATGAAACTAAATAATAATATTTTATTTAGAAATATGGTATTTTGAGGCGTAAATAAGAGTCCATAGAGATACGAAATACATACTTTCACTAGTTGATCACACGTTACAACATTTTAAAAATCATTTATTGAATATTCTATAAGATACAAGCGAAAGTAATAATTCCTCAACATCATATCTTCTTAAATCCTAATTAATTTTATTCGAAAAACAGCTTTTATATCTCTCATTTAATTTCCTTCTTTCAACAACAAATTCTACGATCACACAGAAGGTCCCTGTAGAAGTAAAAGTGTTAGAAAACCCAACGTACGGTTCTATCTTGGGGCACGACTTGAAAAGTAACTCGGCCAACTTAGACTTAGGACATAGTAGATCGAGTCAGCTTTTTCGTGACCGCTCTAGAGTAAACCTTTGTCTATTAGAGAACAGCGGGGCAAGCTATGCTAATACCACTTGAAGAAACTCAAGGGTCTGGAATAGCGGAGTCGCTTTATAGGGTATCCCGGAGTGATGCATTGGGCTTCTATAACCATAAACCATTTCCTTGTATCTACACATTAAGAGGGAATATAGGCCCTTTACGACACAATCCACTATTCAATTTTCTAAATGCACTTTTGGTATTCTCGTATGCTCCGAATACACGGGGAGCTTTAACAAAGTTTGTTTCGGCTCACCCCCTCTCGTGACGCAGGGATCCTGGAGTCTTTAGCTTTCAAGTTAACAAATGAGAAGAATGGATTTAAACACGATAATTGACCCTTAGAAAAGTAGGATAATAAGAATAAACCCATTTAAATCAGATGTATTCTCCAATATACAAAAGTTACTATACAGAAAAGATTGCAGCTAACGGTGTGCTTCACGAACGTTCAGTTACATGGCATTTGTGTAGCTGTAATGAGGCCCAGATATATTAATTAGCGGAATAACACTTATAAAAAATAACATTTTTTCTTGATTAAGACAGAATTCGTTTGTTGATAGTAACCGATGGGGACACAGTAATGAAATGACACTACTAAGTACGTAATCTTACTTATAAAGATGATTCATTAAACATATATGTGTGTTAGAGATGGCGGGGTCGTTTAACGTAATTTTTTATATGTAACCGAAATTGTCCTGCAGTGTACATGGGCTACTTTGTTTTAGGATTTTTCCCTGAGAAAGAAGATAAAAACCCTGAAATATGGCACATTTCCACCTTAATCAGTTAAATAATTCAGTTATTATATTCCACAAATTATGACATGCATTCAGCGACTATTGAGGTATAACAGCTTGTTTTCAGGTTTAACTCAAGAGCAGCGGAGGTACTGAAAGAAGTTAAGCAGCTTGTTGTGTAATTTAACTCAAGAGCACCGGAGGTACTGAAAGAAGTTAAACAACTTGTTATCGGATTTAACTCATGAGCACCGGAGGTACTGAAGGAAGTTAATACACCTTGTTATGTGATTTAACTCATGAGCACCGGAGGTACTGAAGGAAGATATACACCTTGTTATGTGATTTAACTCATGAGCACCGGAGGTACTGAAGGAAGTTATACACCTTGTTATGTGATTTAACTCATGAGCACCGGAGGTACTGAAGGAAGATATACACCTTGTTATGTGATTTAACTCATGAGCACAGCGCTCTATTTCAGCCAGAATAGGAACCTCACTCAGAACTATAAACAATATAATGCACACAGATGCAGATGTTTAAAGCGACATGAGAGTAGCGTTCAAACGGTTCCCACAAAGCACATAATCGAATGGCAGACCAACTGTCGAAAGCTGTACAATGGCCGTCTGTCATGTAACAAATGAAAGTGTGTCGTCACATTGGACGAAGCATATGTCTTCTTAAGTGCCTGCAGTACAGTTTTGGCGATTTATATTGGTCTTGCCAGTGATACAATATTTCAAGCGTGGTAGAGTGTATATTTCAACATATTTTCAAAGGTATCAGGGCCTGGTATGGCCTGATGGTTAGGGCGTAAGTCTCGTAATCGTGCTCGCCCTTTCAGTCGTTGGAGCGTTATAACGTGATGGTCAATTCCATTATTCGTTGATAAAGAGTAGTCTGGGAATTGGCGGTGGACTATGTTAACTAGCTGCCGTCTCTCTGGTCCATCACTTCAAAATCAGGAACGGCTAGCGCAGATAGCTCTCGAGTAGTTTTGGATAAAAGTAACAAATATATACTTGTATTAAAACATCTTATCAGATGACAATAAAATCTCACATTCGCATATAAAAAAATGTAATGAAGTTACAGTAAGTAATCCACGAACCATCATAGAGCATACTATAAACTCCGACATAATATTTTAAACTTGAACAACAAACACCATATCGAGACGCAAATATGAAGTTCAATTACCGTATACAATGATATCCAGAACATTTGTTAATATAATCGCTGTTCTGCTGAAAAAAAAACTAGTTCATCACAGAAGTTAACACAACCAGATAACACTGCACAGAACCGCTCTGATACCGTGAACGGTGATAAAACTAGAGATAAAAGTATTAAAATTATTACGGTATTTAAAATAAGCGTAGCTAGCGAAATGATTAACACATTTGTCCATGTAATAAAAATCTGTGATAACACAAACACATTTATGTCCATATATCTCCAAATAGTGGTAATACAAACACGTTTTCATGTGGCAACAGCTAGTGATAATACAAACACCTAGCTCCACATGGTAAAAGGAGCTAGGTGTTTATGTTATCATTACCACTAGCTGTTACCATGTGGAGCTAGGTGTTTATGTTATCATTACCACTAGCACTAGCTGTTACCATGTGGTAATGATAACATAAACACCTAGCTCCACATGCTAACAGCTAGTGGTAATAATAACATAAACACATAGCTCCACATGATAACAGGTAGTGGTAACACAAATACTTAGCTCCACATTTTACCATCTAGTGGTAACACAAATACCTGTCTTACTCCAAAGGACAACAGCTTGTGGTAATACCACCTGGAAGAATGATATAGTATTTTTACCGGTTATTACAGTATGTAGATAAGTGGTTGAGTTTGTATGTGTTGCAATATGAAGATAAGCATTTGAATTCTGTTACCATTTTTTTCAGTTTGGAGATATGCTTTGTATTTTTAAATTATGAGATTTTATGACAAAGTACAATTATGAACAGTTCAGTAAAATTATTATGACAGAGAAATGAGGATATTGTGTGAGTTTATGAGAGGATTTCTGAAGAACACTTCTTATCACATAAGGTTCACTTGTTTTGAGGTTGTCCAAAATCTACAATAATACGAAGTTTCCATAATGAGCTTAATAATGAGCTCAATGCAGATATAACTCTAAGAAAAGGGTTAATAAAAATTCAGAATAGCAAACAGTATAGATAAGCAGGCATAAAAACTTTAAAAAACACGTACATTTAGTTAGGGTAATGCCACATGACAGTGGGTTTAATAAAATGAAATTTTAATGAAAAACAGAGAAGAAAATGACCAGTAGGAAGAACAACGACTAGCCGCAAAGCAAGTCGTCTTGTGAACGTGCATTATATAGACTACGTTAACTTTACAACAAAAAAACCTCATTCACTTTGTATCAAGTGATATCAAAAACATAAAAGAAAATGGAAGATCGTTGAATCGATTTTTTTTTATTCAAGCAGGATTTCATTAGGAAAGGAAGTTCTCCTCATACAGCTGTATTTTTATACTAAATTGTATACCAGACTACTTGGGTCGTGATAGTTTGTTTTCTTCTACTACATTCGTGTCGAATATAATAATCCAAAGATTAGGAGCTGTCGACATTTCTACTTGTACATCCTCCTCCGCTAGAGGCCACCAATGGGCCAAATTAACCCGCGGCACGCCCACTATTCGCCCCACCCTAGATTAAAGGGGCGGGATGTGAGCAGATATTGTTGTGTTTTCTCTTCATTCTTCTGCATTTTGGATAATATATATATTTAATCAAGTTTCCACCTGTGGATATGTATAACAAAAGATTGGAATATTACATTTCAGTTTTATAACAAAAGGTAGAATATTACATTTCAGTTTTATAACAAAAAAGTAGAATATTACATTTCAGTTTTATAACAAAAGAATATTACATTTCAGTTTTATAACAAAAGAATATTACATTTCAGTTTTTTCTCTCCTTTACTAATTTTTTTAACCGGTTTCGTCACTTCACAGGTCACGCTTCAGGATGTAATTTTACAGCGAATCTATAATAAAAACATTCAAATATTATTTTTCAACTAAATATAGATATTCTAAGTTAAATACATATATTTTCCAAATGTACACAGATATAATATAGTCCTTTAATAAATTGCGTATATTAAAATATGCTCAAAAATAAATGAAATTAATTAAAGCTTATTCTCTATACTTTCTTTATATTCCTTTTTAACACCTTATTCTACTGATATTTCTATTATTATTATAAAAATAAATGTATTCCATAATCATTCGTAATTTAATACCTCTTACTTGTTTTATTGTCTTTTTTGTGATTCTTACTAATAATTTATTTTGTGGTTCCAAATTCCTATTGACTTTATACAACCCTACTTCTGCCCTCTTACCACTGTCTATTTAAATTGACGTCAAAATAATTTCTGAAATATTTTTGTTATACATTACATGCCCCAAAAAGAAAAACATGAAAATATGGTTCTTTTAGTATTTTAAGTTTTCTCAAAATACATTCATTAAAATGTTTCCTGGCATATAGTGGCCTATTTTTTGGACGTTTAACATGGAACTTATGTAAATTTATCCTTAATATTAAATCATTGTTCCACCAATATAGATTTCACCACAATTTACACATTCTAAAAAAAAATTACGTTCTTAGAATTACAAGTAAATGAGCTATTATTAAAAATGTTATTTTTTGTTGTTCTTTACCGTTCCTGTAATTTTCATGTAACCTAAGTTACATAAATACCTTTTTCAGAAAAATATCATTCTTTAACTTTATTCAATAATCTATACACATTTTTAGGTTGCCTTCTTGATTAAATAATTTTGTGATTTTTTAATACGTCTTTCAGTTTTTTTTTATCTACTATTTGTTTTAACTGAGTATTAACAAATGAAATCAATACTTATAGCTGGACAATGAGACACAACAAAAGGTATAAAATTCTGTTTAGGATCACTAATCTCTCTGTTTAAATGTTTTTTTTTATTTATTGAAAAAGTTATTCTTAGCAGTTTCAAAACTTCTTAATACAACTTTTTCCGGATAGTGACACTGAACTAAGAATTTTTAGTTTTAGTAATCTGTTAACTCTCGCTTCCTGATTGGAAACCAAACAATACAGTCTACTTGCAATATTTACAGGAACATTAATTTTATATGTTTAGGGTGATTGCTAAATAAATTTACATATTGATGTGAGTTTGTGGGTTTACAAAATATATCAGTTACAATCTCCTTTTCTGACTAAACACTTACCAAAAGGACAAGGCATTATTATTTATTTCAAAGGTAAACTTAATCTCTTTGTTCATGGAATTTAAAATTCTAACTAACTTAGTAATATCTTGAGTATCTTTCCATTTAAAAATATTTTCCAAAATTTTTAAAGGGAACTACAAAATTATCTTCAAACTAATGAGGTGATATATTAAACAACTGTGGTTCGAAAGACCCATAGTCATATTAGCATAAGTTAGAGCAAGTTTTGTTCTTATTGCTGTGCAAAAAATTTGATAAAAAATTTGTTCTTTTTCAGTAACTTAAAAGTAACTAAAAAAATAATAAAGAACAATAATTAAGATATTTTATTAATAACTTATTTGATTGTAATTCCAATAATGTAATACATCTTTTAGAATTTGTAAAATGTGGTAAATTCTATGTTGGTCAAACATATCATCTAATATTAAAGATAAATTTACAAAAGTTCCATGTTAGATGTCCTGATAAAAGCCCACTATATGCCAGCAAATATTTTAATGGATGTAATTTTAGAAATATTTAAATTCTAAAAGATGTATTACATTATTGGAATTACAATCAAATAAGTTATTAATAAAATATCTTAATTA